AGTCATGAGCCAAAAACAAAAACCAAAAACAACCAAAAACCAAAAACATTGTTTTAAGTTTTGGAATGACTTGTTATGGAGCAAAAGCTAATGCATGCAGAAGCCATCAGTATATAGATGATGTTTTTACATGTAAGAATGTCTTTATTCTTTTCTTACTCAAATGAGAACATAACACTGTTATGGTGTTGCTTTATCCATTTAATGACATGTCTAATGACAACTTTCCATGAGGTACATTTCGATCTCTCTCATTATTTTAAACAGCTGGACAAATATACTAATGGACTCTACCAATGTCCTACTGAGGCGGTGTCCAGTTTTTGCTATCACAAAGCCTCGGTAGACATTCTTACAGGTAGTATTTCTATACATGTGTATTAAGCCAATAAGTTCCTGCAATTACGACTACTGGGTCAAAGAGATTTGCATTTAAAATATTAATAGTTGTCAAGTTATCTTCCAAAATGATTTACTAATTTACCCTTCCTTATTATGAGAGTGACTATTTCATCAAACCCTCACCAACACTTTTACATATTTGCCGATCTGAAAGGTTAAAAATATATATATTTCATATGGTTTTACTAACATCTTAAAATTATGAACGAGGTTGAGAATATTTTCATATGTTTAGTGTCCATTTGTATACTTTTCCTGTGAATCTCTTATTTCTGCTCTTTGTCCACTTTTTATGGCTTGTAGACTTCTTAAAAACTGAACTATGAACAAAAGTCAATGGATATTAAAGAAATATTACTGTATGCATAATTTCTAGGTATAAACCTTTAAATGAGTTCTAGAGGAGTTTGAAAGGCAGTAAATAATAATTTCCTAAATTCATAGTGTTGGACAAATACAAAACATTACCTCACAGCTAGCTGGTGAGGCAGGTCTTGTTATCCCCATTTAACGGATGAGAGCGAGATTCAGCGAGATTAGTAACCTCGGGGCAGGAAGCCTTGTGAAGGGCTGAGCTGGGACTGGAAGATTGCTGGGTGTCCCATGTAGCCCACTCTTCCAGGGTGTCTGCATCCCTCATTGTCCCGAGATGTTTTCAACCCTTTAAATTGTAGAATGGTCACAGTACCAATGATTCTTGGCCACCGGAGTGCACAGGAATTGTGTCGGAGGGAGACGCAGTTGTTTCGCTGTGGCCTGGACCCCTTTGCGTCTGTGGGTGATTCCTGTCAGCACCCCTCACTGCCTAGGCCTGCGCCTGCTCTCCCAGGCTCCCGGGAACGGTCATGGTGCCTTACTGGTGCCTTTGTTGATTAACTTTGGCACGTGTTCATTTTATGTTTGTACGATTTTATCTTTAAAAACAAATGATCTCAAGCTCTGGTCCACACAGCTGGAGTAGGAACCGTCTGGAGCTACCCAGGTGTGTTGGACAATGATCCTTATTATGATGATTTTAGCCCCAGAGCTCTTGGAGGAGCAGAGGAGAGCAGTGAACCTTTCCCGGGGAAAGCACCCCCCCCACACACACACCACACACACACCACACACAGCACACACACACCACACACAGCACATACACACCTCCCCCCACACACACCACACACAGCACATACACACCCCCTACACACACACCACACACACACCACACACAGCACATACACACCCCACACACACACACCACACACAGCACATACACACCCCCTACACACACACCACACACAGCACATACACACCCCCTACACACACACCACACACAGCACATACACACCCCCTACACACACACACTACATACACACAGCACATACACACCCCCTACACACACACACCACACAGCACATACACACCCCCTACAGACACACACCACACACACAGCACATACACACCCCCTACACACACACACCACATACACACCACACACACACACCACACACACACCACATACCCACACATACCTACATACACACATCCCCCCCACACACCACACACACACACACCACACACATACACACACACACACTACACACACACCCCCCCCACACACACCACACACTACTCTGCATACCCTTGGAGAGCTCCTTGTCTCCTGGAGACTGGTTTAGGACTCCTGGGGTGGAGCCCAGGATCAGATTAGCTGCTCAAGTTCCGAAGTAGAAAGAGGTGGCAGGAAGGGAGTTGGGAAAATGACTTCTCTTAACTCTTGCTGAGTGCTTACCACGCACCACAGTGGACTCACTCGTTGAACCGTCACAGAAACCCAAAGACACAAGAAACTGTTGCTATGCAGAGAACATGTGCACAGAGGGGACATGCCACTTGCCCAGGGCCACACAGCTGGCATGAGTTCTAAAGTGACTCCTTTGCCCCACAGATACAAGGTCGAGGGAGTAAAATAGTTCTTGGGGGGATAACACAGATCCCTCCCTAGAGAGGAAGAGGCGGCCCCCAAATCAACTGGTCCACCTGCTCTGAAGCAGCGGTAACATTCAGGTCACAGAATCCCTCATGCTTGGCCAGACCCTGTGTCCAGAGGACTCCGGGGGAGGGAGGGTATGGCCTAGGACCAAAGATGGGACTGTGATGGTTAATTTTACAAGTCAACTTGACTGGGCCCCCTGGTGCCCAGAAAACTGGTTAAATATCCACACAGATGTGTGTTCTGGGTGTTTCTGGACTGACACTTGAACTGGAGGCTGAGTGGAGCGGACTGCCCCCGGTGTGGGTGAACCTGAGGCCTGACCGGAGCAGAGGGCGGAGGGAGAATGCGTTCTCTCTGCCTGACTGTCTTAGAACCGGGGCATCGGTCTCTTGACTTTGGACTCAGACTGGAGCTTATGTTCTCCCGGGTCCCCAGCTTGATGACTGCAGGTCATGGGCCTTCTCAGCATCCGTAAATCGCGAGAGCCAATTTCTCGTAACAAATCTCTCTGTCTCTCTGTCTGCCTCCGTCTCTGCACCCAGACTAGTACAGGGGCCCTGAGCAGGTGGACCTGTGCCTCGCATGCCCCTGGGAAGTCTGCAGCTCGGCAGCCTCATCCGTGACCTAGCTACAACCAGGGAGTCAGAAATGGCTGCAAGAGGCCTGCTGCCTGGCCCAGGGCGTCCACGGCCCCGGGGCGTGGGTCAGCTGTTCACGACAGACCACCTGGAAGGCAGAGAGAGCATGTGGGGTCGGAGGGGCTTTACAGCTGGGGTGCAGGGCTGCAGTGAGCCCCCAATGGGGGACTGACTAATGTGGGCGGAGGGGTCACACCCAAGACCAAGGAGCTGGGACACACTCAGTGGACGCCAGCAGGGGCTGACAGAGACAGAGCCCGGGAGGTGGCGTCCCCTCCCTCAAGAACCACATTGGCATTTGTATAAACACATTCCCATCCCCACCCTCAACCTAGCAAAGACCCTGCAGGGAGGAGGGGAACAGAAGGGGACATCTCAAATGTGACTGAGTTTAAACCCGGGTGTTTGAGGAATCAGTAATATAGAAAATGAATCCAGTTATAGCAAAATGATGAAAATTAAATTTTGCACATTTGAGTTCAGGGTGGTGAAATGGGAACCTGGTACCCGTGTCAGTAAGTTAGGTTAACCGACTCTTCTGCTCCCTGAGCCCCTAGACTTCTCCTTCTGCCCAGAGTTTGCTGGAGGCGAGGGTCAATAATAACACTCAGGGCTCTGGGCCATCTGCGCGTCGAAGTGTGCAAAGCTCATCTACGTCGTGGGTGGGCCGTACCTTGTGGTTCTGGCCACTGCGCGCCTGACGCAGAGGAGGAAACCGAGGCCCAGAGAGATTAAGCAAATGGGGAGGTTACACAGCCAGTGGGAGAGCGTGCGGGACCCAAACGCAGGCTTCCAGTCCAGCTCCTGGCAGGTCAGGGGTCCGGGCAGATGGCAGAGGTTCTGGGACCTGAGGCCGACTCCTGGCATTTCTAGGATTGCCCATGGAGGTCAGCCCAGCCTGCCCGCACAGGGAGCAGGCCCTGTCCTCCCCTAGAGGGACGCGCCTCAGCAATGCTCACGCAGAAGGGACGGTCAGTGGACGGCCTCCCTGTGCGCAGGTGTGACTTACTCCAGGGCTGGATCCAAAGCAGCCTCTTCCCGGCGGAACCCGGGCCAACATCACTGCACCATGGGTCCTGCTCACACTTTGCAAAGCACTTCAGAGCGCTGTGCAGCAGGCCAGGCGGGCAGGCCATTTCACAGGTGTCAAAACTGAGGCCCAGGCAGGGCCGGGGCTTGCCCAAGGTCTCACTGCAAGGAGCGAGGCTTTTCAGAACAGGGTGAGGCTGGGCTCGCGGCTGGGCCCCTTGCACAGTCTCGGGAAATAAACTCTGCAAAAAGCTTGCTGTCTTACTCTTCATTCAGCCCAGAAATGACAACATCCCTCCCCGGTCCAACAGAATAACCAAAGACACTAATTTCTATTTTAAAGAAAAATTTTTTTTCTATATTTCTCTCTCTTTAAGACATTCTCACCAAAGCCATATCGAACGTGCTGGACATGAGCCAACCGCAACGTCACTGGTGAATGTCGTACCTGCAGGGGAAGGTCGGCACTACCCCTGCCCCAGCCTGGACTGAGCTCACAGGGCAGAGCCTCGGTGGTTCCCGGCAGCATCCCGTTCCATTGTGAGCGAGCGCTCAGTCGGTGCTCCATACATGTGTCGTCAATGACCGCGCAGACACGTCTCGTTGGCCTCCTCTAGGCCCTGTTCTCACCATGGTTCCCCTCACCAAAGCAGGGGCCAGACGACCCTCAGAAGCCATCTTGTCCAACTGCTTCCTGTGCCAGACGAGGTCCAGAGAGGGGAAGCGATTGGCTGGAGGTCACACAGCAAGCTAGAGGCAGCACGGGTGCAAGAGAAGGACTCCCTCGTTGCAGAGCTCACCCGGAGATCTGAAAGCCTCTGCCACCGAGCCCGCAGGGCCGCCTTGCTGCGGAGTCCCAGGCAGCCGCGCCCAGGGAAGCTTCCCGGCTGGGGCCATCGCTGCCTCAGGAGACGGACTCCCTGGACACCAGGGCACCTGCCTGCCAGTTGTCTTCACCTGGAGAGGAGAGTGGCTCCGCTGGTCGAAGTGGCATAGATGCTGCCCCATTTGGGGTGTGGAGGAGGAAGGACGCAGAGGGCAGGGACGCAGGTCTGCAGGATGACAGGGCCTGGGAGAGGCGGTGTCTCCCATGGGTGGCGTGGGAAGGGGGTGATCCGGGCGGGAAGCCAGGCAGAGGCCAGCTGACCTTGAGCCGGTGGATAACACCCCATGGGAGGAGCCAGTCTGGACAGTGCAGGGGGCGGCAGCACGAGGCCCTGTCACAAGGAGAGGTCAGGAGAGCAGTGAGTCCTCAGCTTCACCCTGGGCCGCCCTGCAGCCTCCCCACCTTCCCGCCATGCCTTGCGCAGCGCTGGGCAGGTAGGGGACCGACCTGGGGAGAAGTGCGTGCACCGGGGGCCAGAGAGCCTAGCTCTCATCCTGCCATTTACAGCAATTGTTTGCCGTGGAAAAGTGACTGTGCTTCTCAGAGCCCAGTCTCTGCATTTGCAAAATCAAAACAAAACAAAATAACAGATACATAGAAAAAGCCTGCCTGGTAGCGTCACGGTGGGCCCGCATGGACCTGCAGCCACAGGACGGTCTGTTCTGTGCAGCGCTGCCTCCCCGGGGTGGAGCATCGGGTACACACTCCGAATACGTATGGGCTCAATGGCGGCGAATACTTAGGGGGCACTTCCCGAGTGCCCAGCGGTCTTCACACCTCAGTCATTCCATCCTCATCAAAACTATGACTGTCCTTTGAGAGGGACTGTGACTCTTCCAGGCTGCTGCTAAGCGCAGAGCTGGGATTCGAACCAGGCAGTCTGACTCCAGTGTTCAACTTCCGTGTACCACCCTTGACTCCGCAACCCTGTTCTGTAAACCGTGACGTGGTACCCAAGTCATAACGAGGATTGTCACCTTTGGATGAGGGCATGGGATTTGTCCCAGGTCCCACAAAATTCCAGAACATCCTTGCCCAGGCTCTTTCTAAAAAAAATTCCCCTGAGGTGTTTCCTCCCATCTGGGTCTGGATGGACTGTTCCCAGACAGTGGGTCCCCCGGATCCCCATGGTGCCTCAGCCACTCACGGCCATGTCCAGATGTGTGGCCGGGGCCACGTCGGCCTCATCCAGCTGCTGCAGAGCCCCCAGGCTGCCTGTCTTCTGCTGCTTCCGCCGCTTGGCTCGCTGATTCTGGAACCAGATCTGATGGGGGCGGGGTGGGGGTGGGGGGTGGAGATAAGCAAAGGAGTTTATTCCGGCTGGTACCTCCCCCACATCCCCAGTAACAGCGCCTCCCAGGGGACTTGGCAGTTGAGGAAGGCTCTGGAGGTCAGCCTTTGGCAAGGGGACAGGGGCTCACAACCTTCAATGCCTGAGGGGCCGGAGGCTCATTTGGGAGGGAAGCAGCTGGGTGCCCCATAATCTCAGGGGTGGGGACTACGGTCAACAGAGCCTAAGGGGGCAGCCTCTCAGCTTCAGCCTCCAGCCACCATGTGACAAGTGAGCCCAGCCCTGCAGGCTCATCTAACTTCTAAGACCGAAATCTTGATTTTATATGAAAGCTCTGAGCTTTAAATACTGTGCTGATCAAATAAAACCCACCAGTGGGCTGTTTCCTCCTGGCGGGCCACTAGTTTGCAGCCCCTGGGGCCCCTTGGCATCTACGGGAACACTGGCGGTGTCCTGTGTTCACGAGCATCCCGATGGTCTCTGACACGCGGCCATTTGAACACGGTCGGTCTGCTGAGATGCCGCTGAATTCTGAGTCACTGCGCTGGTGACGGATCCCAAATGGCAAGAAAAGGGGAGAAGTCTGAGACCGGGGTGGGCCTCAGCCAGAACAGCAGGTCGGGATACAATAACGTGCAGAATGTTGACCTGAGCCCTCGCTCAGATTTTGAATTAGAAGGAGTCCATCCCATTTGTTAAAAACGAGTGACTTAAGAAAATCGTGTTAGAGGGCGTGGCCATGGTGCAACCATTGGATTTGGGTTTGCTGGAATGGTACTTGGAAAACTGGGGGTGTGCAAAGAGGGCAGGACATACCCCTGGTAAGTGACAAGGGGCTACTGTGTCTCCAACCTAGCGAAAAGCCTCAGAAGGAATTAGAGCAAGATCAGGCAATCGGTGCTTGAACGAGGTCTCAGACTATGGATCTGGGGTCCGTTCCCCTTCTCTGTGCTTCCTTCAGAGGGATAGCCATGTGGTCCAGATCAGGGTTTGGAAAAGTAAGGCCCGTCGGCTGACTCTGGCCCTCTACCTGTTTTTATATGGCCCATGAGCTAGGAATGGTTTTCACATTTTTTTAATGGCTTCAAAAAAACCCAAAGAAGAATAATATTTTGTGACACATGCAAATGATCCAAAATCCACATTTTAGTGTTCATCGATAAAGTTTTACTGGAACACCGCCACGCTCATTTGTTTATATATCGCCTGCGGCTGCTTTTATGCTACAAACAGTATATAGTTGGATAGTTACGACAGTGATCGAATGGCCCCAAAGCCTAACATAATTAGCACCTGGCCCTTTAAGGAAAACTTGGTTGGCTCTGATCTAGACTGTCAGGAGGCATTTTGTGAATGAGGCTGCATGGTGCATGATGTTCAGCAACTGTAACCAAGGGAGAGGAAGGGCTCGGGAGCACCTGTCAGTGGCCTTCAGCCACGCCCTCTCACTCCATTTCACCCTCCAAGGAGAGAAATCATCTTGTAACCACGATGACCGCATTTCCTGGAACGTAACATTTAGCAAACATGACTGTACTAGTGGGACAAAGTCGAAAGTTTCAGAAGGGACAGCCCCAGAGGGCCCAGGATCCATAGGGTCTCACCCATGGCCCCAGGTGCACGAGTGGGGGTGGTTGTACCTGCACCCGAGCTTCGGGGAGGTTGATCCTGGCTGCCAGCTGGTTGCGGACGTGGATGTCTGGGTAGTGGGTGAAGTGGAAGGTCTTCTCCAGCTCATGCAGCTGCTCTGTGGTGAAGGTGGTTCGGACCCTCCGCCTGCTCCTCCTGTCCTCTGCATGCAAGAGGGAGGGGCCGAGTTGTATTAGCGACCTTGCTGTTGGCTTTGTGTTGCCTTGTTTCACTCTTTCAATCTCTGTGGCCTTTGGCCCCTAGAATATTGGAGTTTTGCAATATATATTTATATATATATATTTCTAAAATCCCTGCCCCTAGGCTGACCCCCTCCCATCTCTCCTGGACAGTGAGGCCAAAGTAACCTTCTAGAGTGTCCTCAGATTGTTCCTTTGCTGCTCAGATGCGTTCAACGTCTACCCCTTGTTTACAACAAGGACAGCAAACTACAGCCTGTGAGCCAAGTCCAGCCCACTGTCTGTTTTTGTAAATAAAGTTTTATTGGAACACGGTCCTGCCCGCGCGTTTATGTACCGTCTATGGCTGCTTTTGTGTGCATGGCAGAGTTGAGTAGTTGCAGCAGAGACCATATGGCCTGCAAAACCTAAAATAATTACCATCTGGGCCTTCACAGAAAAAGTCTGCCAGCCTTGGTCTACTACAGGCTGACCTCCACGGCAGTCAGCGCTCCCGACCTGCCCCAGCCACGGTCCGCTGCTGGCCACTCAGGGTCGACGCCATCATTTGTGGGGCCTAGTGCAAAACGAAAACGTGGGGCCCCTAGTTCCAACAGCAGGAAGGAAGCTTCTTCCTTCCTTTCTCAGTCTCTCTCTTGACCTGTCAGGGTATTTTTTTATTTGCTATTTAAGGTCATGCTCCCCCAGGCACAGGGATACTGACAGGGACCCAAGGACCACCCTCCTCCCAGCAGCGCCCAGCCCATCCCCACCCTGGGATGGAGGAGGCAGCAGTCACTGGGTAGGGGCTGGAACGGGTGACTGAGCCCACACCTGGGGAGAGGCTCCGTGTTCCTGGGATGTGCTTCATGACCTCATTGCACTTCACTTACAAAACACAAATTTACACATAAAGTGATTAAGACTTTCAAGATGGTGATCATAGTATAAAACCCCATGAAACCTCTTCTGAGCTTGGGATCCTGTGCAGTCACACTGGTCACACACATGCCCGTGAAGCCAGGCCTCTGTGTGTATGCATGTTTGTGTGCATGTTTGTGTGCATGTGTGTGCACGCATGTGTGTGCGTGCACGTGTGTGTGTGTGTGTGTGATGGGGAGATCAGGTATGCAACTCAGACATGTTAAATTCGAGATGTCTAGCCACTATGTGGATGCATATATATTTGGAGTTCAAGGGGAGCCAGGACTGAGGTTCCAATCGGGGAATTGTCGCCATCTGTTTGCCCTGTCATGGGGGTGGGAGAGATCACGTAGGCAGGACATGTAGGTGAAGAAGAGCGGAGGGTCTAGGAGTAAGCCTGAGCCCCTCCACCACCGAGAGGTCCAGCAGCCAGGGAGGGAGCCCAAGGGAAGCCAACGAGGGGACCAGGAAGGGGTGCTCTTTGAGGTAGGAGGCAAGCGAGGACGGTGCTGTGACCCAGTGAAGAAACTGTTTCAAGGAAGAAGCCTCAGCTGTGTCCCTGGGGTGACTCGATCAATTACAACAAGAACACAAGAGTGGCCCTGAACCTGCCCCAACCGAGGACCCTAATGATGGCCGTTCCCACAGAGCAGAGACAGCGAGGGCCCCGTGGGCAGTGGGCAGAGGAGAGAGGGAGGTGAAGCAGAGGAGGTGGAACGGGAGGCACCTCTGCCGGGTTTGCTGGGGATGTGGAGGAGGAGGTGCAGCTGATAGCTGGAGAGAGATACAGGTCCAGGGGGTATCCCTTCATGGGTTTGAAAATGTGGAAGAAGGACGAAGTGGGTCCTCAGGTGCAGAATTCTGATTTCCCTGGGTGGTCGGCGCTACCATAGGAACCAAGAATCTGCACATCATCTCCGTGCAGGGGCTCGAGGGAGGACTGAGCAGATTCCCTGCTTCGGGGTGGGAGACAGTGATGGCCGCAGTCAGGAAGGCAACCGGAGCTCAGAAAGAAGGTACCTGCAGCGGTGCGCACTCCACAACCAAGCCACCCCGGAGGAAAGGCGGCCTGTTTCTTTCCTGTGAAGATGACCGGGGGTCGTGGTAGACCATAAGGGCGAGGCGAAAGCTTCTGCCGTCACAGGGCCAGTGGCAAAGGTGGCCCAGGATTGCATCCGGTGCTCACTGCACTGCATGATTCTCTGGTGTACTCGTACAGAAAAACCCATTAAAAATCATTCCCCTCCACGCAGCAAACTTTATAACAACATGCAAACGCCTCAAGGCTTTCTGCCTGCGCTGCAACGTCCTGTAACTGCCATGTATCTCCAGGACAGCGCTGTCTGTCCAAGAGCCCACCTGATGGCGCTGGGGGAGGGTGACTGGCGCGCCCCATCTCTCTGCTGGTGCCTGGGGAGGAGAAGGGTGTCCCGCGCAGAGGCTGGGCCCCGGGGCTCTGGGTGGTGACTCAGCAGAGTAGACCAGCCCGCTGGGCACAGGGCAGGGCGGGGTGAGGAAGAGCAGTGTCGGGGGTGGGCTCAGGAAGCAGGAAGGTCCACACACACACACACACACACACACACACACACACACCCGTTTTCAGGAGGAGGCTGCTCTAGGAAAGGGGTGGGGGAAGCTGCCAGGCTGACACCTGGGTTACAGACCGTAGTGGGTCTCAGAGAGGATGCAGGTGAGAGAAGGCGGAGGAGCATCAATGGAACATGGATCAGAGAAGGTAGAACACAGAACCCAGCCCGCATCATTTTGAACTTCGTGAAACGAGAAGCTAGAAAGATAAGCTCATGAATGGAGCGCCCCATGCACGAGACATGGTTCTTAACCATCAGGAGGGGCTCGGATCTCCTGGGCCTGGACTGAGAGGACGATGGGGGTGGTGAGCCCCATTTTCCGAGCTCTGGAAGGGGCACTGGATTGGGAGAGGGGAAATCCGTGAGTTCCTGTCCAGGCCCAGAATCTCCGGACCAGGCAGAGAAGCCCAGAAACTGGTGGCCACAGTGCAGGGCATGCACAGTGCTGGCCGAGGGCACCCGCGGGGGCACATGGGGTGGGGGGCGGTGGGGAAGGTGGCGGGCACTGCCCCCCTTGGTGGCTGCTCCTCTCCTGTTCTTAATTGTGCAAGCTGTGATCACACTTCAGTGGGTCTGCACAGAGAATGAGTCAGCAGAACTTAATTAAACCTGCGCCGTTTAGCACATCGATCATAAGAAATACACAATTTACACAGGTGATTAGGCCACCTAATTATAAACCGATGTTTCTCCACGCTCAGCTCCCTCCCCTGATTGCTCCTTCTCTGGAGTCTGCTAATGGGCCCTGGCTGCTCAGCTACAGGCCTCGGGGGCTTTGCCTCTGGGCGAATTCTCGGAAAATGGGCCTGTCTTGTCTTCCTGAGGCAGGGGGTTCAGCGTGGGGAAGATCCAAGGCCCCCGGGGAGCAGGGTGGGGCCACCTCCTGCACAGGACGGGTGGGTGCAGGGCGGAAGTCTCCCAGGGCTCTGGCCCGCGCTGGCCTCTTGTCTCCAGTCTGGTCATGGCTCCCTACAGTCCCTGTGCCCACAGCATCCACCGTGACCTCCTCTGGGAAGCCTTCCCTGGCCTCCTGATGGACCAGCCTCCCTTAGCAGAGGCCACTAGAGTACTGGGTCACCCTCTCCCCAGCACTTGTCACGACTGTCATGTGCTTCCGCTGCCGATCATTGGACGGCTCTTTGTCGCCCCTGCTAGACAAGGCAGGGCTGCTCTCTACACGGTCCCCACTCCCGGCTGATATCTGTGGTGGCTGCAAGATAGGACCCCTTGAGTTCTCGTCTCTTTTAAGGAGGACCCACCTTAGTGACTCCGTAACAAACGAGCCGTCAGAGGTTGAAGCTTCCATGTGGCTCCCTTCCTCTTGGGTTGCTCGCTCTGAGAGACGCCACTGCCATTTTGGGGGGACACTCAAGCGCATGGGAGGAGCCCCATGTGGGGAGAAACTGAGGCCTCCCCCAACAGCTGGCACCACTCACCAGCATGGGTGTGAGCCACCGTGGGAGCAGAGCCTTTACTCCAGCCCAGCCTTCAGGTGACTGCGAACACCACCCTGCCTGCAATCTCACAGGGACCCCGAGCCAGAGCACCCGCTAAGTCATCCCCGGATTCCTGATGCACAGAACATGAGTGAGATAATAAATGTTCCTGGTTACCTTAAGCCAGTAAGTTTGGGACAAGTTGTGTTTGTGTGCAGCAATAGGTACGCCTGCCACTCAAGCCCTCCGGCAGCTCCCGCTGCACGCCTGGGTGATGCACACGGCGAATACACTGAGTTTAAATTACAGCCAGTGCGAAAGCCTCCGCCGGCCACGCGGGTTCCTCCCAGCTCCGACTCTCGGGTCCTGTTACCATAGTAATGTCGTCAGTGCCCTGCTTGCGTCCCTGAGACCTTTCTGTGTCCGAGAGCCACTTCTGGCTGCCAGGGTTGTGCTTCCGCGCTGAGAAGCCCAGATAAGCCCAACGCTCCGTTTCTCTAAGGACGGAAGCGTCAGTGTGGCGTTGTGGTCACCGGCTCGGTCACACCCTCTGTTCACCGTTTCCCTTCTGTGCTGTCTCACTACTTGGCTACTGGAGGCAGTTAAAGAGCAGAAAGTGTTGCTTGGGGTGGTGAACACGCAAGATACAAATGACATCTATAGAATTGTACACCCGAAACCTATATAATTTTATTAACCATCGTCACCCCAATAAATTAAAAAGAGAAATTGTGCCTGGGGTGGAGGGTGGAAATGGGTGAAGGGAACGAAAGGTACTTCCAGTCATAGAATAACTGAGCCCTGCGGTGTCACGTACAGCACGGTGACTACAGCCGACAATACTGTATTGCATATTTGTAAGTTGCTGAGAGGAAATCTTTAAAGCCTTCATCACAAAAGAAAGAAAAAAATTGTAACTATGCATGGTGACAAATGTCTATTATTGCGGTGATCATTTCACAATGTACACACGCAGTGAATCATTATGTTGTACACCTGAAACTAAGATAATGTTTCATGTCAATTAGTCAATTATATCGCCATAATAATAAAAAAAATTCAGGAAGGATGGGAGAGAAGCTCCATCCATCTGCCTGGGGGTAGGGAGTGAGGGGCAGGGTGGGTGCGGTGGGAGCTGAACCTGGGGACCAGCAGGGCCAGTCTGTGAAGGACTCTGAATGTCACACCCACACGGTAGGACTTGATAAACTACAGGCCAGATCCGGTCCTCTGCTTGTCATTGCAAATCAAGTTTTATTGGAACATAAACACACCCTTTCACTTACACATTGTCTCCTTTTCAGCTATGACAGCAGAGTTGAGTGATTGCAACAGAGATCATGTAGCCTTTTAGCTTAAAGTTACTATGTGGCCCTTTGTAGAAAAACTTTGCTGACTACTGCTATAGGACATTCCTCAAGTCCCAAGAATCCCACCGTCCTGGTCACCTCCACCAGACAAGAGGGACAGAAGCCAGCACTGCGCCAGGTGGTGACCCCGGGCTCTGATTGCTGCTGACCCCACCCCACCCCATGTGGTGATCACCCTATCCGTTCTCTTCACCTTCACTTTCCCAGCCCAGCCTGGCCCCTGGCAAGCACTCAGCAACCATTTACTGAGTGACTGACGGCTCATGAAAGGACGAGGGCATATATCTGGGTCCCCTCTAGGCCAGAGACCACACTGGTTTACCCACTGGGTGGCCTCTTCCTCGCCCATCTACCTCCCCCTTACCCCATGGGAGTCACTCCCCTGGCAGAGGGTCATCAGCGGGACAGGTGCAGAGGTGGTGCCTCCCTTCCCGAGGTCTGAGCCTCTGGTACGAGGTGGCTCCTTCTGACTGAGTCTCCCTTGCCTTCGGAAGCCCCAAGCTTCAGGGAGCTTGCCCCTCTCAGAAGGAGAGAGCAGTTAGCGGGGCTCAGCATCCTCTTTAGTTGGGAGACCCTCTTGGAATTTTCCATTCGCTTGAGACGTGGGAGGGTCTAGGCCTCAGGTTATGTGGGTCCCTGTGAGATGGGAAGGATGTGGGGAGAGGAGACCTTGGGCTCTGCCCTGGGACATGGGGGAGGCAGAGCACTGGTCTGGGCCTGGATGACTGGTCTGGCCCCAGCTCTTGTAGGCACTGATTCTGCGGCTCAGAGCACGCCACGCTGCCTCCCCGGGCCCCAGCCTCCCCGAAGAGTGGACCACTCACATCCTTGGATCACTTTTGGGGGAGCTGGTTAGAATTCAGATTCCTGGGCTCTCCCCTCGACCTGGAGCCAGGGTCTTGGAGGCCAGGCCTGAAACGCTGCCATCACAAGCTCCCGAGAGGCAGTGTTTGCCAGCAACCTCCACGAGCATACCCCGAAGCCAAAGGGGGTGTACCCCTCCAGTGCTACACTGCGGTGACGGAAGGCATGGGACACACCATTTCCGGTCTGTAGGCCACGAGGGAAACAGGTGGGGTGGGGGGCTGCCCATCCCGGTCACCCGGGCCCTGCCTGCCTGGCTGGGAGACCCCCTCTGCTGGAGGGAGCTTCTGCCATGGCAAAGCACCACGAGCGAAACCACCAAGGCCTCTCGGCAACCGGTTCTGTGTGGAGCTGGTCATGTGTGTCAGAGCTGGGAGGGACCAGGAACGGTCCAGCCCTTGCTTTCACGTCCAGATGGGGAAACAGAGGCCCAAAGAGGGGCGCTCACTGGAGGGCGTCCTGTGAACTGACGCCCGCCCGGGGCTTCGAGGCAGGTTCCGGAACCCCGGCTGCCTGGCCCCTCCCCGCCTCGCAGACTCGCTCATCCGCAGATTCTGCCAGTTGCCGCTGTGGGAAACCACAGCCTGCCATCCCGTCTGTGCTACTGTTTGCTTAGCGTCTTCCCAAATAGCCGCTTTTGTTTACTTAAGTAAGTACACTTATTGGAAAAGGAAACCTCACACTGTGACCAAAACACGGGTAACTAATACCCCGGGTCCTAAACAGGAGCTCAGCGGAGACCTAATTAGAACGATTGACATGAGCCATCTCTGTCTGCGCGCCCCCGGGGGGCACCGCCAGCGGGACCCTCACGGGTCTTTCGGAAACACGGATTCCAGCAGAGCGGGCGGTGGGCCGCTAGGCCGGCAGGAAGAGTCTAGAGTGGAGGGGCTCAGGCCTCCAGGGTTCAATTCTCGTGCTAATGTAGTTTGCCAGCTGACTGGTCTTCTTGGTTTATCATCTACAGGGTGGGGGGCCCCCAAATGGGGCCGTTTGACAGAAGGGTGGTGCCGTGAGGGCCGGGGGCAGTCTAATGTCACCACGGCGGCTTTGGTGATCACTCCGGAGGTCTGCTCTGGCTTTAGCGGCGGAGCTGACGTGGAACATGCCAACGTCTTCAGGGGAGGCTCGGAATGAGTGGCCACGGCCTTTTGCCATCAGCATTGCCAGGCTAGGAGAGGGCAGCTCCTCTGGCAGGGCTGCCCCTCAGGAAGAGGAGACAGTCCTGGACTTTAGGTAGCTGCAGCAGGAGACACTGAGGTTAGACCTCTCTGGGGTCTCCCCTGCAGCTGAGTACAACCCCTCCTGGTGGCCTCGACTGTGAGGGGGGCTGGGCTGTGTGTATGGTAGGAGACGACACTCCAGGCTACCCGGAGCTCCTTCCAGCCTCTCCTGGATTAAAGAGGTGGAAAGGGGTGAGAACTGGGAACCTCTCGTGAGAACTCTGGCTCATCGCCTGTCGGATGCCATGGACGCTTGAGACATCGCCTTGGTTTCCCTTCCCCCACTCAACTGTTCCACCGAGGATCAAACTCAGGCCGGAGTTGGAAAGGGACCTTCCTGAGGTCACACCGGCCAGGGGAGAACTGAGATGACATCACGAGTTCCTTACTCTGAGCAGGGCGCCGGTGTCCACCCCAGTGACCTTCCTCGAGCCCGCTGTCAGGGAGGGGCCTGAGACCTGGTCACTGTTATTTTGGCTGGGCCGCTGACCCAGGGGTGTGGGTGACCAGGGTGGGCAGATCCGGGCAAAGCTTCAGCCACTGAGGCTGTGCAGGCCGGACTCAGCGTCCGCAGGACAATGTGCCGGGCTGAGCAGTGCCGGGGCAGCCAGAGCAGGGCCTGATCTTGGGTCTTCTGCTTACCAGCTGGGCAACTTGGGGGCACCCTCCACCTCTCCTTCACAGATGAGTCTCCACATCTGTCAGGTTTTGCTAATTAAGGCTTTCTGCTGACTTTGGAGAGGAGGCAGGCACAGCCTTAGGACAGAGCCGACCGCGCATGTAAACGCTGAGTACGTACACGGGGACTAGCATCTCAGCGGTGGCCTGGTTGCGGGAACAAGCCCTGTCCCTGCATTCCACAACTCACTGACCTTGGTGTCGCATCTGAGGGGCCGCAGTTCTGGGCCAGATAGAAAGAGATTTAAGGTCCAGCCCAGTGCCAGCAGCCTCTGAATCTTAGAGCCCTCTCTTCTGTTGATATGAAGTAGCTTGTTCTCTGCCTGAGCCCAGCTGGGGCTTGGAGACCCAGCAATGGACAAGAAATGACCAGAAGACACTTACCTTGGGGCTGGTCCTGTGGGGGCCTCTCTGGCCGGGAGCCCACCGTCGCTGCTTGCCTGGCGCCCGGTCCACCTGCTCCTTCTCGTCCGGCCCCGTGGCGCCCTTCTGCGGGCCTCTTTAAGATCTCCTCGATGGAGAAGGACAGGCCCAGCTTCCGTGGGCCCTCAGCACACCCCGAGTTCTTCCTCTCCACACCCTGGCAGAGAGCAGGGCCTGCCTCGGCACTCTCCATGGGCGGCTGTGAGGAGGGCAGAGCAGCTTCGCGTGTGCCCAGGGTGATGCTGGTGGAGGGTGGCTACTTCCTCCCCCAAACTCCTGGAATCAAGCGGGCAAGCAGAGGTGGAGAGTGGGGAGCCTCATGTCGGTTATCCAGGCACGATTCTGTCTCCCCTGGGCCTCTCATGGGCCACTCCTGGGATGAAGGATGCAGGTCACATGGGAAAGCTTGGCCGGCTGTACCCTGCACCCACAGGCTCAGAGCCCTCGCCGGCTCGATGTCAAGGGAATCGCCATTGCCCAATTGGCTTCAGTCTTACTGCGAAGGGTTTTGCAGCCGAGGCCCGGGACCCGGAGGTTGTGGCCGGTGGGCAAGGGCACAGAGCTGGGAGGAAGAGAAAGCCTGTCCCCAGAGGAGACCTGGGCAGTGCGTCTGCTTTTCTGACCTTTCTGTGGCTTGTGGCCTTTTCCCACTAGCTCCGGTCAGGCCCCTGGAGGGCCGCAGTGCCACCCTTGGGTCCCAGGTGTCCAGCTCCGTCCGGGGTCGCCCCGCAGCTGAAGGGTGTTCCCAGGAGCCCTCCTGGGCGTCTCTCAATTCCGCTGCTTCTAGACTCCAGAAAGCGCCCCCGGAGCACCGCTGCTCTGCTGTCCTGCAGGGAGGCTCAGGGAGGTCGCTGGGTCACTGCCGGCTCTGCGTGCAGTGGGGCCGGGCTGAGCGCCGGGCCTCCCAGGCCTCTTGGGTCTGGCCTGACTCCCTGGCGTTTGTTCTTCTCTCCCTGGCCTCACTTCACGAGTCTGTCCACAGGCTCCTGGACTGGGGGCCTCCTCTGCTTCTTCCTGCTTGCGCGCCCCCTACCTGCTCCCCAAGGCAGCACCGAAGGCCCCTCCTCTGCCCAGTAAACCGTCAGAGGGAGCGGACAGGCACCCAGCTGTCCTTGCCAGGAGTTTTGTTCCCAGTGACTGTGTAACCAGGGAGGAGGGGGCAGTAAAACAGCTGATAAGAGAAGAAACTCTCCACCTTCCTTAGGCCCCAGGCTGCAGGTGTCCGGGGAGAGGGGTAGGGGCAGAGGGGAGTGAAAGGGTGGGTTTGGGGGGCTTGGGGAGGGCTGTGCTGGGGACGGGCCAGGTCGGGGCAGGACAAGGGAAGTAGGGGGCAGGATGGCCAGGAATTGTCCCCAGGCCCCATGAAGTGTGTTTACTCAGCCAGGAGAGTTATGGGTCTGCTTCAGGCTGGGCTGGGCCAGCGCGGTGCTGGGTGTGGGCACGGCTGTCTCCCTCAGGCGTGCTTGCAAACCTGTGGGGACACTGAGGCCCGGACCAAGGAGCTGCAGGGGACGTCACGCCGGTCTGATCGAAGTACCCTCCTGGGGAGCTTCAGAACGCCACGCTGGACACAGGCGCGGATGTGCACGAGAGTGACCAAATCCCCGGGGGAGGCTGTGAACAGGAACCGGGACGTGAGAATGTAGACCTGTCAGAGGGTGGGGATGGAGGTGGGGGTGGGGGAGGCTGCTGCTCACACCTGGAGGAGGGTGAGTCGGCAAAGTTCGGGACTCCTCCTGAGACAGTTAAGATCACGTGGTCTGTTTTGGGCGCTGCTCCCGTGAATGTGTCAGGCTGTGGGATCCAGCGAGGGGACGTGGCCCTGCTGCAGGCACAAGTAAAACCTAAAACACTGGGAGCGTCATTGCTCACCCGTGTCCCAGACAATGGAGTTGGACATTCCTTCAGGGACGCAGGCTCCTTCTGGAGTGGGATGCTCCCATCCTCCGATCCTGGGCTCCGAGTTTTCCAGGGAGCCGGAGAGAGCAGAGGGGAAGTTTTCTAAGTCAGTGTGGAAGTGGTTTGTGTAACTTCTGCTCGTATTCTTGTCCCGGGGAGTCATGTGGCCCTGACTGACACGGGCTGGGCCGTGGCGGTCTCTGCCGGAGGACGACGACCCGGTGTGGACGCGTGGGCAGCGCCTGCAGTATAGCTCTATGGCCAGGAGCCAGTGGGAAGAAGCTGGCCCACCGCTGGCAGAGGACCCTGTGACGGGCAGTGGTGGCGGCTGCTCGGGAGCGAGGACAGGGGCTTCAGGGGCTGACGCAGCAGAGGCAGTGAAGAGGGGAGGAGAGGCCGTGGGGCCAGGGGTGGTGCACCCACCGCCTGTTAATCCACCAACAGCCCCACGGACTGGGTGCCATTCCCACCACTTTGAGTGAGGAGATGCACCCAGTGGGGTGGAGTGGCGGGGGCCAGGTTTCCCGGCCAGCCAGTCGGGGAAGCTGCTCAAACCCAGGGCATCCGCTCTGAAACTCACCTCTGCTCCCTTCTCCATCATCTCCAGAGCCCGTCGGTCCAGCCCTGTCGTTGGGGGAGGAGCTGAGTGAGACAGAGCAGTCAGTCGGGGTCGCCCCTGCGTATTTCTAGCACCTTGTCTGATTTCCTTTAGTTCGCGTCTCTCTGGGGTGAGTCTTGCCTCTGGGCAGGTTAAGAAAACACCCTCATGGTATGGACGGGGATACTCACTGTCCTTCCAAGCCACTGCCCCCCATGGTCAGCCTCGGCCCTGGCTTTCCCACGTGTGTTCATCCCACGAGCATTTCTCGAGGCCGTGCCAGCACGGACCCTGCCTGGAGGGACCCACGTGCTGGGTGGGAGTGGCAGGGAGGGGAGAAGATGGTCCCCTGAAGGGATCTGGTGGGACTTCATAGGGGGAAGAGATCGTGTGGTCCTTTGGATCAGAGCACGATTGAACATGGAGGCAGGAGGGAGAAAGGGGAGTTGTTACCCAAGTTCCCTTGTTCAATCTGTGCAGAGACACACCAGCACAGCAGGTCACCCGCACAGTGCATTGTTCTTGTCTCAGCGGTGGGAGAGGAATTTTATTTCTGAACACGTGTGTAGGAAAGACATGCTGGAGAGGTAGGTTGGAGCCATCTGTTCGTGGATGCCTCCATCACCTGTCCATGGACACCTCCATCACCTGTCAGTGTATACCTCCATCACCTGTCCATGGACGCCTCCATCACCTGTCCATGGACGCCTCCATCACCTGTCCATGGATGCCTCCATCACCTGTCAGTGTATACCTCCATCACCTGCCCATGGATGCCTCCATCACCTGTCCGTGGACACCTCCATCACCTGTCAGTGTACGCCTCCATCACCTGTCCATGGATGCCTTCATCACCTGTCAGTGTACGCCTCCATCACCTGTCCATGGATGCCTCCATCACCTGTCCATGGATGCCTTCATCACCTGTCAGTGTACGCCTCCATCACCTGTCCATGGATGCCTTCATCACCTGTCCATGGATGCCTTCATCACCTGTCATTGTACGCCTCCGTCACCTGTCCATGGATGCCTTCATCACCTGTCAGTGTACACCTCTGTCACCTGCCCATGGATGCCTCCATCACCTGTCCATGGACACCTCCACCACCTGTCTTTGTACGCCTCCATCACCTGTCCATGGATGCCTCCATCACCTGTCCATGGATGCCTCCACCACCTGTCTTTGTACGCCTCCATCACCTGTCCATGGATGCCTCCACCACCTGTCAGTGTACGCCTCCATCACCTGTCCATGGATGCCTCCATCACCTGTCCATGGATGCCTCCACCACCTGTCAGTGTACGCCTCCATCACCTGTCCATGGATGCCTCCATCACCTGTCCATGGATGTCTCCACCACCTGTCAGTGTACGCCTCCATCACCTGTCCATGGATGCCTCCATCACCTGTCCATGGATGCCTCCATCACCTGTCAGTGTACGCCTCTGTCACCTGTCAGTGTACGTCTCCATCACCTGTCCATGGATGCCTCCATCACCTGTCAGTGTACACCTCTGTCACCTGTCCATGGATGCCTCCATCACCTGTCCATGGATGCCTCCATCACCTGTCAGTGTACACCTCCGTCACCTGTCAGTGTACACCTCTGTCACCTGTCAGTGTACACCTCCGTCACCTGTCAGTGTACACCTCCATCACCTGTCCGTGGATGCCTCCATCACCTGTCCATGGATGCCTTCATCACCTGTCAGTGTATACCTCCATCACCTGTCTGTGGATGCCTCCGTCACCTGTCCATGGATGCCTTCATCAGCTGTCAGTGTACACCTCCATCACCTGTCCGTGGATGCCTCCATCACCTGTCCATGGATGCCTTCATCACCTGTCAGTGTACACCTCCATCACCTGTCAGTGTGCACCTCCATCACCTGTCAGTGTACACCTCTGTCACCTGTCCATGGATGCCTCCATCACCTGTCCGTGGATGCCTCCGTCACCTGTTTTGAGGCACCCACTCTGGGGTGCCAGACTGTGACTGCAGTGCTGGAAAGACAGTTGTGATTGAGGTAGACAAGCTCCCTCTTCTCATGGAGTTTTCTCAAAAAACAGACAGAAAATAGACATAATAAATAAATGCCCAATAGAATCGCCACTCGCGATTATGTTCTAGAGAAAATGGAGCAGGATGCTGGCTGGAGAGCAGCCAGTGAGGGAAGGTCCACTAGTGTCTCAGGTCTGAACTCTGTCCCGCAGGCAACACAGAGCCGTGGGGGTTTCTGAGGCATCACGTGGGTTTTGCTTCGGGATGTTGTGGCAGGAAAGGCATGTGTCCACGTGTGCGGGGCTGTGGCACGTCCTGAGTAAGCAGCACGTCGACTGACCCCTGTGACATGGGGAAAGAGGGGGGAGAGGCGGGAGCGCAGGAAGGACACGCCTCCTCCACCCCCCCCTCCTTTGGTCATCTGACCACACCTCACATTGCTCTCTGCTGGACCAATTCCAAAGCCCCCTCCAACACTGTGGCCTTTGGGGCTGGTGGCCTCCGCAGGAAGTGGGAGTCACTAGTGCTGGTGTACAGGTGGAGGGAGCGAAGCCTGCTGTGGGAAGTGACTCACTCAAGGTCTCTCTGTTAATTGCTAGAACCGGGCAGAGTCACAGCTTGGACTTGCGTTTGTATTACCCAATATCCGCCTCTTTCCACAATTCCACGCTGCCTCTTGGAGTTGTTTTAAAA